CACTTGGGCGCCGCAAGACCCTGCCCACAAGTGAGGTAGCTCAATGACACGCACAATCCACTAGAGTTACCTTTTGGCTCTCTGCCGGGGAAGGTACAAGACCCCTCACAATCACCGGGAGATGGCCACGAACAATCACCAACTCATACCGATGCTCCTCCACTGCTCTAAGCTATTTAGATGGCGGCAACCACCAAGAGTAACAAGAAATCTGTAGCCACAATGATGCCCAAGTGCCACTAGATGCAATCACTCAAGCAAATGCACTAGGAATCACTCCCAATCTCAAAGATGGTGAATCAATGATGGAGATGAGTGGGAGGTGTTTGTTTAGGCTCACAAGGAGGTATCACTGAAGAAAATATGCAAGAGATCAAGTGAGCCCAAGGCATGCTCCTTCTATTTATGGAGGTCCATGACCTCCACTAGCTATTACTCACTCGGGGCCGACCGGACCCTAGGACCGGACCCAAGGTCTGGACCATCTATAGGGAAGGTTCGATTCTTGGATTCGCGCCACCTGTCCCTGCTTTGAACTACAGCTGGTAGATCTCAACGGTCACTTGATCAGCACCAATGTCTCTCACTTAGTGCAACTGGACTAGACTCAAGCACCAGAGACCGGACCCTGGGACCCATGGACTCAGAACACTCCAGAGAGCATCTAGAGAGCTCCAGAGTGACTGGACCCGATCTGCTCGAGGCATCCAGACCACGCAGAGTGCGGTTCTGGAACACTAACTTGCACCATGTCGCCTCCTTTCTTGCTCGCATCATATTCGAACACGCGCACCAGCTTCCAGACTCACTGTGCGACAGGGTCCGGAGCAGCCATGCCTCTGCGGTCTGCGCTGCTCTCAGCCGTGCCAATCGGACCCGACCGAGATGGTTCAGAACCACTGCCGAGCAGGGCCCGGAACACCTACAACAGCCCTCTAGCTTAGGGTTTGGTTCCGAACCGGCCCCAGCCAGGGTCCTGACCCCCTAGGTCACCAGGGTTCGGTTCACTTCTTCTTCTCCTTTTCTTTTTCTAACACTTCAACTACTTCACCCTTGCTTAAGTTGCTAACCACAAAGTGTATAACCCATGTGCACGTGTGTTAGCATTTTTCCAAGCATTTTTAAGGGTTAATTGTTAGCACACTAGGTCCCCAATGCATATGCAAGTATGACTTCACCTAGTGGCACTCGATAACTGCTTAGCCAAATATTTTCCCTCTTTATAGTACGGCTATCGATCCTAAACACACTCACACCTTCCATGGTGTCTTGAGTGCGAAAACAAAAACCTATTTGATACCTTTGCCTTGATCAACACTTGGTTTTTGTTTTTCTCTTTCTTCTTTTTCAAATTGGAGCACTTGATCATCTCTTTTGGTCACCACCATCACCATGACCATCATCTAGCTCCATCACTTGGTGTGTACCACCCTATCTCAATCACAACACTTAATGACAAGGGTTAGTACACTGGGTTTCATCAATTATCCAAAACCAAACTAGGGATTTCAGGTAAGGAGTCCCCTAATCAGTTTCTTAGCCTTTGTATACCTCTCTTCACATACGACACACAAGCAATATGATCCAAAGACACAAGACGTATGGTGTTACCTCCTCACGAGGGTTATAACGGTATAAACTTTATGCATCATGTGCTACCATCTAAAAATCTGCTACTCACACGACATACCACACTTACTATCGGTGATAACAACACAACCATGAATGCCTTGCTCGACTTCTTGCTGAGGTCGGTAGTGGTGAGACCTTTAGCAGTACGTCCCTCATTGGAGGTTTTGTAGTGAGGCCACTCTCCTTTACTTTGGGGGTCTCTAGTTGATAAAACTTGTGTTAGAATCTTCGAACGTTATTAGTGGCATCTGTGTCATTTCCCTGTGTTGCTGCTTTGGTGGAAACGTTGGTAACAGTATTGTGTTGATTTTATTGTTGTCACGTCCTCTATTACTTTAGCACGTTTGACCTTCTATGATGTTCAGAAACTATCAAGAATAGTTTTTTTGTGATTTTTCGGTGACAAAGAAATACCTGGCATTACAGAAGGTGCATCAGTACACATTTTCTATGACAAACAAAGAGAACCGTCACTCACTCAGTGACAATTGCATTTCTGAGTAAAATATTACAACATGTTGAATTCGTTTTGCCACTTGGAAGATGGAGTGACACAACTGAAGTTATGATTAATTACACAATTCACTAGAGTCAAATTTATCAAATACTCTCCTTATTCTAAATTATAAGTCGTTTTAGTTTTTCTAGGTACAACTTTGCTATGCACCTAGTTATACATGATGTCTAGATTTATAGTAAAAGCTATATATTTAGAAAAAACTATAATGACTTATAATTTGTAATGGAAGGAGTAACTGGCACGACGATGGTAGCAATGCCTTGACTGATATGCTGCACTTTTTCTCTCTAAACAGGAGAGGGGCTGGGGCAACTGAGGTGCCCAGTCTCCCTCTATCATGACCCAAAAATGAGAAACCCTACACTACTTATAATTGTAAACAGACAGAAGTGGAATACGGAAGCGCCAGCGAGAGGCTAAAACGAACTTCTCCTTCACCTTCTCCTAGCAAAATTTTTGACCCGGATCGGAACCTCCCAGTCCTTATCCTTAGAAATCTGGTACCTATACTTTATGAGGATGTTTTCCTTCACGTTCACCATGATGGCCATATACGGGCCCATGACACTAATTGGCTCAATGGGCTCTCTAATTGGATCCAACAAGGTAATAACATGTTAGCCCTTGGGCAACTTTCTTAGGGCCCGCTTGCCCCTAGGTGCCTAGTTGTTGTGGTTGTGTCACTCTCGGTATAAATTTGCACCTACATATAGTTTGAATACTCGGATCCATCATTGTTCCCAATAAGAGTTGTCTCACCTACGGATATATAGACATGAACTACTTCGTCATTTTGCTCCAAGTTGAGGTATATAGAGGGGCTTCCGGCCCTATTGCCACCCTCACCCATTGGTATGGCCTCTCCATTATTGACACACCTTGTGCCTTGCATCAATGTGGAACGAACTCCCTATGGAAAAAACTCCCCGTGATTGTTGTTGTGACATGCGGGATGGTGTTGGTGTTGGTGCTTTGGTGGACACGTTGGTTATGGTAGTGTGTTGTTGTGTTGATTATATTGTTGTCGCTTCCTTCTTCACTACAGCACATTTGACGTTCTATGACATTTAGAAGATTTCACGAGCAGGGTTTCATTTTGTGATGCTCCACCGACAAAAAAATCCTGCCCCTTTATCAGTATTCAGTACACATTTTCTATGACAAACAAAGTGAACCCCAACTACTTCATGACAATTGCATTTCCGCGTAAAACTATTACAACATGTTCAATAGGATGCTACCACTTGGACGATGGAGTGGCAAGCTGAGAGGTGACATTATAGATATACAGTTTGCTAGAATCAAATTTATCAAGTAACTCACATGGCGATGGTATAGCAATGCCTCGATTGATATGCTACACTTTTTTTTTCTCTAAATGGAGAGGGGGCAACTTGTGTTATAGAATCTCCGAACGGTGTTAGTGGCATCTGTGTCGTTTCCCTGTGTTGGTGCTTTGGTGGAAACATTGGTAATTGTATTGTAGTCACTTCCTCTATACTGTAGCACGTTTGACCTTCTATGATGTTCAGAAACTATCAGGAATAGGGTTTTCATGTGATTTTTCGATGACAAAAAGCCTGGAGTTACAGAAGGTGCATCAGTACACATTTTCTATGACAAACTAAGTGAAATGTCTGTCAATGACGATTGCATTTCTGATTAAAATCGTTACAACATGTTGAATTGGGTGCTTCCACTTGGAAGATGGAGTGGTATAGCTCAAGTTATGATTATGCTGTTCGTTAGAATTAAATTTATCAAGTACTCCACTTATTCCAAACTATAAGTCACTTTTATTTTTTCTAGGTACATGGTTTTTGCTACGCACTAAGATATACATGATGTCTAAATCTATAGTAAAAGCATGTATTTGGAAAAACCAGAATGACTTACCATTATTCATAATAAAGGGAGTAACTGGCACAACGATGGTAGCAATGCCTCGATTGATATGCCGCACTTTTTCTCTCTCTAAACACGAGAGGGGGCGGGGGCAACTGAGGTGCGCGTGCCCAGTCTCCCATTTGTTGTGCCCCAAAAAATGAGACCCCCTATATTACTTATACAGAAATGCTATACAACACACATGTGTTTTAGCACGAAAAAACACATGAATTTTTTGCACAAAGAAACACACAGCGAGCGCACGCGGCAGCGCAGCACCAGCAGCACTCTTTCGCTTTCTGCGCCTCGACTGTCGTGTGGGCAGGTGTCCTGAGCGACTTTTGCGCCTCGACCTGTCGTGTGGGCAGGTGTCCTGAGCGGCAGCACCAAGTGGACTGTCCAGGGGCCCACGGCGCGACGACCCATTATGTACGGGATGGAACCAACCACTGTATAATTTGTCCTTCCATAGAAAAAAATTATTTTCTGTGATATGTGATCTATGATCTGTGGATCTGTGATCTTGTGATTGTCTGAAGGTAGAAGAAGGCTAGAGGTAGAAGAAGGATGGAGGCTGTTAGATCTTAATCTTATGGTGTAAAAAAATTCATATGTTGGAATTACATAAAATACATGGTTGTGCAGTAGCCAAACTCTTATAACTGTAAACAAACAGAAGTGGAGTACGAAAGCGCTAGCGAGAGGATACTGCCGCTTGATCACATTCCCTCCTTTCGCGTGACTGCACTGTCTTGTATACCTCCAGATTGTTCTCCACGTCTTTGCAGGCCTAATCCACGTCGTTAGGCATATTTGCAAGGCACAGATGCACGCCTCTATAGCCATCAACCCGTACTGACTGAGAGCACTTGTGGTCACTACGGCCACCAGAGCCACGTAGAAAGCCAGCATCAGGGTCATGAGTGACACCCACATGCACTGCAGCGCCCACGCGAAGCTCTTAAACGAGCCGACGGCGGAGCGCGACGTCTTCCCGTAGACGAGCAGGATCACGGCGAGACGTCGCCACGGCGAACATGTCCAGGAACAAGAAGGTGTCGAAGACGAACTTCTTCCTCGCGAGGTGCGCCTGGCCCGTGGCGTCGCTGTACCCGCCGGGCACGTTGAACCCGGCCGCGAATGCCGAGGTGGCGATGAGCACGGCCACCACCGCCAGGCTGTCGGACGTCCTCTGGATCCCCTGCACGACGTCGTGGCCGCATCACGGCGTCAGCTGGTCCTGCCTCTGCGGCCGGAGCCGCGCCCCGTACGCGACCAGCGTCACCAGCAGCCTCACCATCGTGAACGAGCTGGTCGACGCCGCGGCGAGCTCGAACGCCGTGTCGCCATCGCTGTTCAGGACGTCGACCCGCGCCTCGCCCTTCCGCAGCAGGGCCTCCACGACGGCCGGCGCGCCCGCGGCCACCGCGAGGTGGAGCGCCGTGTTCCCGTGCCTGTCGTGCGCGTCCAGCAGGAGACCGCGCAGCGTGCGGCCCTTGATGACAACAGACACCACGGACAGCTGCTTCTCCCTGCACGCGGTGTGCAGGAAGGTCCCGCCATTACCGTCGCGGAGCTCGGCAGCGTCCGGGTAGCTCCTTAGCATGTCCTTCGCCACGCGGTGGTGTCCCATTCGCGCCGCGACGTGGAGAGCCGACAGACCGGCCGAGTCCTTGTACACCGTTGTCGGCGGCGCGGCGCGTAGGAGCGCGTGCACGATGCTGCGGTCGCCGGCTGACGACGCGAAATGGAGCGAGCTGCTGCGCTGCTGTCCACTTGGTCTGCGAGAGCTGGTCTCCACTCCAGTAGCACGTCAACCATTTCTGCAGGCAACGCAAATGCTGAAGACATTTTTGTTTCCCGAGCAATTCTTAGGCAGTTGGCAAGCAACTAACCTGAGCTCTGGAAGACAGCCGCGTGTAGAGCATTCTGTGAGCTCGGCCCGGCCGACGACGCGTCCTTGCACATGGTAATCGCTTTGACTGCTTGCACCGATCCGCTCATCACCGCCAGATAAAGCGGCGACACGCCGGCGTTGTTGAGCTCAGCCGCCGGGCCTGCCGCCGATACCAGCGCCTCCACCACCATGTGATACCCGTGCCTTGCGGTCAGGTGCAGGGCCGTGTCCCCGGCCTTGTTTCTGCATCCGAGGATGCTCTCGCCGCAGTCCCGGGACAGCTGCGCGAGGACCGCGACGGCCCTGACGTGCCCCGCCCTCGCCTCGCAGTGCAGTGGCGTGTCGAGCGCGGAGTTGCGGTGAGACAGGAGGAGGCCATGCTCCCTGAACCTGTGGTAGAGCTCCTGGATCAGCTCGTCATGGCCTTGCTCCGCAGCCACGTGGAGAGCAGTGTTCCTTTCAGCACTCACTTCGAGTATGTCGCACTGTCCATGACGAATGCCTGAAACACGTCAGTATAAGTTGACTTAAAATAGGTAAACCCGTAAGCTACCTAATGTCTTGCTTAGCTGCACTAGTGTCCACCTTATTTCATATGTTTGATCTGTTGGGGACCTAGGATAGATTGTTTAATGTAAAAATTTAGTAATTTTTTTAGCTCAATCTAACTCCAACCCATATAGAATACGCAAACTCAATCCCATGACCAGTAGCGCTCCGACTCCACCACGCGACTGCGACCGCCGAGATGCCTTCCTCTTCTTCTCTACCTCCAACGGCCTTAGGGGGGGTTATATGAAAATTGTAGATCTCGATGAGGCAACTTTCTAGTTTTGAGTTTTGAGTTTTTTCATTTGATGATGTTCACTACTGGACTCGCATGCTGGCCCTCGGCAAAGGACCAGAAACCCTCGGCAAAGGCTTTGCCGAGGGCTGCCCTCGGCAAAGACCGCTCGGGGAATTTTTAGACGGCGAAGGGGTCTTTGCCGAGGGCCCTTTATCGGGCACACGGCAAAGCCTTTGCCGAGGGCCAGGACGGCCCTCGGCAAAGAAAAGAAACCGTCACGTGCCGGCGCCGTTGGCGGTTTCTTTGCCGAGGGCTGACCCTCGGCAAAGAAGTGGTTTTTTTTTTGAATTTTTTTTGCCGAGGGCCGGCCCTCAGCAAAGATTTTTTTTAAACCTTTGCCGAGGGCCTCCTCCCTGGCCCTCGGCAAAGAAAATTTCAGGATTTTTTCCAAAAAAAAAACTTTGCCGAGGGTTATTGCAAGGCCCTCGGCAAAGGTTTTTTTTTAAAAAAATTGTTTACTGAGGGTCGGCCCTCGGCAAAGAAATAGTTTTTTTTTTGAATTTTTTTAAAGACCTTTGCCCAGGGCCTGCTCCCTGGCCCTCGGCAAAGAAATTTTCAGGATTTTAAAAAAAATCTTTGCCGAGGGCTATTGCTAGGGCCCTCGGCAAAGGATCCTTCTTTGCCGAGGGCCTTGGTCATTGCCCTCGGCAAAGAGACAGAAATTTAATTTTTTTTTTGTTTTTTGCATTCCATCGACACAAGCATTTCATATATATACATATATATATATCACACAGAATCCATTTTCTCACAATATATCACAACCATAATTGTGAACCACAAATCATAATATATTACAATGACAAGTCACATGTTCATCATCATTCACATGTTTATTACGACAAGTTAATGAAATCCAAGCACAAGTCATAACCATAAATCACAAATCACGCTAAAGTCCAACCACATCACCTAGCACGAGTCCTCATCAAGCTAGCCTATGAGACAATGGTGAAGGAAAAGCAGGATCACCCGGTGACGCACTAGCGGGTTGATTGGAACCCGCGGACGGAAGCTGCACAAAGGAGAAGAGATTGCATGTGTGAGTAATCCGGAAAAACAGTTTTGGAACTTAGAGATTGCATCTAGTAATCTAGAAATACAAAAAGATTAGACTCAATTGAAAATTTCGGCAGCACCTCCCCTACACGGGGAGGTTTCCAAAACCTGCAAGAAACGACGGCACGAACGCCGACATCCATAACGGCACGAACGCCGACATCCACAACGGCACGAAGGCCGACATACATGCAAAGCACAAGCGAAAAGTGAACTTTCATACTTACAGGAGTAGCTGCAGGAGTAGGAGGTGGAGGAGCTGAAAACTACACAGGTACACCCGATGCTTGCCCAAGACTTTGCATGATCACCATCATCTCCGCCATCTGCTTCTGCGCGGCCTCGAACGCGACCTTCTGGGCCTGCAGCTGTGCGGTCAGCTCCGCGTTTTGCTCTTGACTTTGCCTTCTTGTTTCTTGCAGCTCGGCCTGCAATATTTCACTCCAATGTATCAGTAATGCAAATCTAATTTAGGTGTGTAAATATCTACGTACAACGAGTAAAGCAGGAATTACTTAGATTGCTTGGACCTATGCAGTGCTGGAGAAGGCCGTGGACGTATGGGCTGGCTGGAGCTCGTGCTCCGTGCTCGGTTAGCGTCGAGGGAGGGAACAGTGGTGGAGTCGATGGCGCCGTCTGCAATCCACAGCCGCCCGTGCTTCTTGCCTCCTCCGAGCATCATGATCGCCTCTGCATCAATGGGCTCAGTGCACATATTGTAATCTTCCCCATAGATCTCCCTTACCGTTGACGTGTACTCTTTGGACTTTAGTGTACACGTTCGGGTCGGAGTACGCCTGGGGCGGGGCAGCCGGGTCGAAGGAGACAGAGGACGACGCCCTGCCCATGTGGGACATAGCCCACGCAGAGAACTTCGAGACCTCCTTGCCCGGGTGCGCAGCCTCCTGCGAGAAAGATGGGAAGATGGTGAGAAATCAAGCAGAATTGAGCGTCAAAATAAATGGAAGAAATCACTTACGTATGCTTGTTTGTATCCGGGGAGGCTACGGCTGCCTTGATGGTGAGTTGGACCTTGCCTCATCAGACGCTGTTCCCGCTGCCTCTCGTGCATGTCAACAAAGTCCTGTGATAACCACTTGTCCACGATCATGGCCCAGCACTCGGGATACGATCGACACCACCAGGGAATCACCTACAAGTCATCGAGTATTTGACATATAAGAAGATGAAATTGAACCTACTTAATATCAAAATGAATCATTATGAATGTTATTCGCCTACCTCAAGGTACTGGTCCCGGGTCAGCGTAATCCGTCTTTCTTGAGGCTTGGGGAGGGTCTGCTTAAGTATCGACCTGTAGTAGTCTATGTGGGTCTGGACGCGCCCATGGTGGTGCATCTCGGTGACGTACTTTCTACAAGCTGTGGCAGCCGCCCGATTCGCCTAGGCCTCAAGTCCTTCTTCGGCCTTGAAATATTTCTGCATACAAAACCGATGTATCCATTTATTATTTCAATAAAAGATTTAACCAATGAATGCGATGTATTAAGCAATGTTGTGCGAGAGAGACTTACCCAAAACTCCGCCAATACTCGCTCCTACTTGTTGCGGTAAGTGTCATCCGTGACCAGCGCGTACCTGTCCCAGTTGGAGGCCGGCTCCCGCACCACCGGCTCTTCGGATAGTTGATCACATGTGGAGATGTCTGGGTTTCAGGCATCCGACGTCGCAACTCGCTCGAAACCTTCTCAATTTTTTACCACAGCCTACACATGCGATAACATGACATCTCGCCAAGTTTCGTGATTTTCGGACTTCGTACGGATTTTATATAATTTTAAAACACTTTTCCGACAAGTCAGTCGTCATGTTACGCGAACAAGATGCGCGAAATTTGATGCGAGTTCGTGGATAGGGACTCAACATGCACCAATTAACATGAATAAATTTTTCGAAACACTACATTGCAATATTCCATGCACCTGCAGTTCAAATTTGACATATTCGAAAAAAAATCAAAGAATCGAAATAAATTAAGGAAATATACAAAACAAAATCAAAATTGGCCTAAATTTTAAAATTGAGGTCAAAACAATGTATTGTAGGACCACAAGAAAACTAGGCTAAAAAAACCAAAAAAAAATTGCCGAGGGCCTGGCCCGTGACCCTCGGCAAAGAATTTAAAAAATAAAAATAAAAAATCTTTGCCAAGGGCCTATCCTGGCCCTCGGCAAAGGGCTTCTTTGCCGAGGTCCTAGTCTCGGGCCCTCGGCAAAGACGATTTATAAAAAAAAAATTAGTCGAAAAACTGATTTTAAAAAAAATCTTTGCCGAGGGCCTGATCTAGGGCCCTCGGCAAAGACTTAAAAAAATTTTGCCGCAAAAGATGGTTTCACATAAAAGAAAACCTTTGCCGAGGGCCTAACGGGTGGCCCTCGGCAAAGCTTGACGGGAAATGGCCGCCGTGACTCAACAGGCCTAATTTGCCGAGGGCCGCCCTCGGCAAAGATTTGATTTGCCGTGGGTCTGTCTTTGCCGAGGGCCATTCTTTGCCGAGAGCTCCTGTGGCTGGCCCTCGGCAAAGAGTGTCTTTGCCGAGTGCTCGAGATTTGGCCTTCGGCAAAGCCTCAGGCCCTCGGCAAAGCACGCGTTTTCTGTAGTGGTTAAAATGCTAAAAAATTGATATAAAATTTCAGCCGCATAATAACCGTGTGCTGGCGCTTGTCGTATTAGAAAAATAATATTTTTTTTTGGTGCCAAATAAAGATACTTTTTATATGAAAGTTGTAGTTCGCAACGACGAGCCCGGCCACCACCGCCAGGCTGTCGGACGTGTTCTGTATCCCCTTCCGCACCATGTCACGGCCGCCCCATTGCTCCAGCTGTTCCTGCCTCTGCGGCCGGAGCTGTGCGCCGTAGGCGACTAGCGCCACCACCAGGCTTATCGTGGCGAAGAAGCCGGCGGCCCATCCTTCGGCGCCGAGATCGAACGCCGTGTGACCGTCGTTGTTCAGAACGTCGGCAGGCACCTTGCCCTTCCGTAGCAGGGCCTCCACGACGTCGGTCGACCCCGCGGCCACCGCGAGGTGGAGCGGCGTGTTCCCGTCCCTGTCCTGCGCGTCCAGGAGGCCGCGGCCGCGCAGCATGGGGCTCCTGATGGCGAGCGACACCACCGCCGAGGAGCGCGTCTCCCTGGCCGCGGCGTGGACGAAGGTACCGCCGCTGCCGTCGCGGAGCTCGGCGGCGTCGGGGCAGCTCCCTAGCATGTCCTCCACGACGCGGTGGTGCCCCATCCGCGCCGCGACGTGGAGTGCCGACAGACCGCCCGAGTCCTTCTTGTAAACCGTGCTCGACGGCGAGGCGCGCAGGATCGCGTTCACGATCTTGCGGTCGCCGTCGGACGACGCGAAGTGGAACGGGCTGCTGCCGCTGCTGTCGACTTGGTCTGCCAGAGATGGCCTCCATTCCAGTAGCAGGTGAACCATCTCTGCAGCCAACGCAAATGCTCAACACATTACAATTTTTCTCCGCAAGAGGAAATAAGCGACTAACCTGAGCTCTGGAAGACAGCAGCGTGCAGAGCATTCTGCGAGCTCGGCCCGGCAGATGACGCGTGCCTGCATGTGGTAATCGCTCTGACCGCTTGCACCGACCCGCTGATTACTGCCAAGTACAGAGGCGACACGCCGGCGTTGTTGAGCTCGGCCGCCGGTTCTGCCGCCGCCGAGACCAGGACCTCCACCGTAGCGCCGTGCCCGTGCCTCGCCGCCAGGTGCGGGGCCGAGTCCCCGGCCTCATTCTTGCATCCCAGAATGTTCTCGCCACGGTCCCTGGCCAGCTCGACGAGGACAGCGGCGACTGCCCGACGTGCCCAGCCCTCGCCGCGCAATGCAGCGGTGTGTCCAGCGCCGAGTTCCGGCGAGAAAGGAGACCCTGACCCTTGAACCTGAGGTAGAGCTCCCGGATCAGCTCGTGGTGCCCTTGCTCTGCTGCCACGTGTAGAGCGGTGTTCCTCGATCTCCGCGGTCAACTCAAGTATGTCGCACTGTCCATGCATAACATTGCCTGAAACCGGTATGAGGAAACTAGAATAACCAAATTTGTGGGTTAAACGATGAGCTCAATTGGAGGTTATAAATTCATCCGACAGGTTAGTGGTTAGGGTTTGTTTGGCCTCATTCGTATTCAGCTCGATAGTATCCAGATGTGTTATAGTAGATTAGGAAGAAAATTAGTTATTTTTTCATCCCAATACACGTAGAACCCGGCTCAGCACCCATGGCGGCGGCAAGGTACCCCGGCGACCCTCGCGCTAGGCCGGCTCGCGCTTTCTGCGCGGTGTCGGCAACTGGCTCCATAGCACCGCCGCGACGAGCTCAATGACAAGGCGGCGGTGTGCTGGCTCAACAGAAACAACCACGACACGGAAATCTACCACGTTGAAGATGCCCTCCGCAGCGAGCTCCACCTGCGCCGCGGAGATTTCCAGGTGGTCAAGCACTACGCCGAGCAGTACCTCATCATCTGCTCAGACCCGGCGACTAGGCAGCGTCTGCTGGACCATGGGGTCATCTCCGACGGTGCCAGGGACTTCCACTTCGATGCCTGGAGTGAGCGCAGCTACGCCAACAACACCAACTAGGAGTACCGTGTCAAAGTACGCATTGAGGGCATCCCGTTGCGCTGCTGGGCGGAGGACGTGGCTGTCCGGACGCTCGGTGATGGCTGTGCAGTGCACTACCTGGAGGAGAGGACGCGTCGTAGAGTGCGCACCAGATCCTTCGACCTGTGGGCCTGGTGCAAGGATCCCAGCGACATCCCCACCGAGGTCTGGCTCACGGTCACCAAGCCAGACAGGGAGCCCCCGTCGACATCCATCCCGCTCCCTCTGGCGCCACCTCACTACAACGATCCGGTCGACCTCAAGCGCGGCCACGCCGAACCGCAAGGCACGCCGTGAGTTCATCTGGAGCTACGGCGCGCCGTATTCAGTCGGCGAGCGGCTGCCTGGCAAGCACGGAGACAACCGGGGGCATGATCTGGGACACCACCAGAGAAGGGACGACGACGACGACTACGAGCAGCGGCGGGGCCACGGCACTCGCCGGCACCGCAGCCTCTCCAGTTGGGCAAGAAACTCGCGCTGCAGAGGCGAGCATGAAGACTGCATCAGCCCCAACAGGTGGCGTGGACGCAGGGATTCTCCAAGAAGAAGCCGGGTGGCAAAGGATGCTCCTCAGGCGCCAAGCATGGTCTGGAAGGTGAAGGCAACAAAGGAAGAAAAGAAGCAGGAAAAAATGACCTTCGCTGACCCAATCGCAACTGAGCTCAAGCCCCCCAAGCCGGTTCTGCAAGATGACAGCATCATGTTCATCAAGGGTAACCCCCATTCTCATGTTCATATCTTTACTGTTTCTCCTCGGATTGACCCTCTGCAAGTGGAAAGTCTTATGTGCAGATCCTGTGTCTGCAGAGTCGGTGGAGGCTACTATGGCTGAGGGAAAGACAAAGGCACACCAAGTCCTGGCCAAGAACTTCAAGCTGCTGGAGATGGAGCTCGAGCAACTAGCTTGAGCCAACCTTCCCTGCCAAGCACATCTACATCTGAGTTGCATAATTGTTCTCTAGCAGAGGATATTATTGGTTCCATAGACTTAGTTGCTCCCAATGTTTTGCAACCACAACCAAACACACTTGCAAACTCACTTTTACCATGAAATGCTACCACCCAATCTCACTTTGTCCCATCACAACATGATCCTGTGTATAATATCCAAAACCATGACGAGGTTCAGCACATAGACTCCCATGTGGGCTCGCTGGCAGTTGGAGATAACCAGGAAAATACCTCCAATGCTGAGCTGCTCGAGCAGCAACAGAGTCATGACCAAACCGACGACACACCAGAGAACAATCAAGGAGCTACCACTCGATCTCCTATCAACCCTTCAGAGCACGTGTCTGTACTTAATATCCAGAGCCATAACGAGGTTCCACACACAGACTATGCTGGTTCCATATTGGGAAATGCCGAGGTTGATACGGCACTAGGAGATAACCAGGCATCTAACTCTGCTCAGAACCATGACCTTATAGATAACACAGCAGATATCAATCAGATGCAAATTAACAATACTACTACACTCACACAAGATCCAGAGGTAGAAACCTTCATTGACTCAATTGCCGCAACCCTGCAAGAGCCTCTCCTAGAGGGAGATCCACAGACACCGAATACACACGCCCATAACACGACCACCAGTAGTGTCACTACCAACCCCCCAGAGAACTCGATCCAGAGAAAAAAAAGCATCAGGCTTGCAAAGAAAGCAGCCGGCAAAGGCACTATCCAAATTGCGCAAGAACTGCTAGCCAAAAAATTGGGTGATCTGTTAGGTAAAGAAGATACTCAAAACGAAACTGATTTTGATCTTTATGCACAGCATTTCGAGATGCCCATTGAGAAGAACAAGATGGAGGCCATCAAGATCCTGATCGAGCACAGTGCCAGCATGCCGAACAAGGGCGCTCCGCAGAAGAGGGGGAAGGCGCAGGTGTTATAAACGATAGGCAATATTAGATCAAATACAGGAGACACGAGATTTTTTAACGTGGAAAACCCTCCCAAGGAAGAAGAGAAAAACCACGGGCACCAGCCAGCAAATCTTCACTATATCGGATGAGGTTACAAATATCGGGGATTTACAACTTTTTTTATCCCAAGACGACGGCTTACAGAAGGTATATATAATGATATTTTGTAAGAAGTGCTGCAGGAGAAAACTGCCGCAGAACTTTGGCTCAAGCTGGAATCGATCTGCATGTCTAAGGATCTAACCAGTAAGATGCACGTGAAGATAAAGTTGTTCACGCACAAGCTGCAAGAAGGTGGTTCGGTGATGAACCACTTATCGATCTTTAAGGAGATCGTTGCCGACCTAGTGTCGATGGAGGTAAAATATGATAATGAAGATTTAGCTCTTCTACTGTTATGCTCACTGCCTAGTTCGTTTGCAAATTTTCGAGATACCATACTAATAAGCTGTGATGAACTAACCCTTGCAGAAGTATATAAGGCCCTCCAGTCAAGGGAGAAGATGAAAGGTATGGTTCAGTCTGACGTGTCATCCTCCAAGGGCGAAGTGTTGCAGGTTAGAGGCAGGCCCAAGCAAAAAACCTACAACAACAACAATAATCGAGACAAGAGCAAGAACGGTAAAGGCCATTCAAAGTCCAGAGGCAGGGATAGGTTCTACAGGTATTGTAAGAAAGATACTCATGTCATTGAGGATTGTTGGAAGCTGCAGAATAAGGAGAAAAGAAACGGTACGTATAAATCGAAAAACAAATCCGATGGTGATGGTAAGGCCTCTGTTGTCTCCGCTGTTGATAACTCTGATTCAAGAGACGTTCTTGTTGTTTTTGCTGGTTGTGTTGCTGGTCGTGATGAATGGATACTTGATTCTGTATGCTCGTTTCATATATGCTCTAACAGAGATTGGTTCAGTTCTTACGAGTCTGCGTAGAGTGGAGATGTCATGCGTATGGGAGATAACAACCCACGTGAGATCGTGGGCATTGGCTCCGTTCAGATCAAGATGCATGATGGCATGATACGTACACCGAAAGATGTGAGACACATACCAGGGATGGGTAGAAATCTCATCTCCCTCAGCACACTTGATGTCGAGGGGTACAGACACTCCGGTTTAGGTGGAGTGTGTAAGGTATCAAAAGGCTCTCTCATTCATATGATAGGTGATATGAATTCTGTAAAGTTATATGTTCTTAGAGGAAGTACTTTACATGGTTCCGTCACTGCTGCTATTGTTTCTAATGATGAACCAAGTAAAACTAATCTCTGGCATATGCGTCTTGGGCATATGAGTGAACTTAGCATGGCAGAATTGATCAAGAGAGACCTGCTAGATGGCTGCACTGTGGGTAAGATGAAGTTCTGTGAGCACTGTATTTTTTGTAAGCACAAGAGGGTAAAATTCAATGCATCTGTTCATATCACCAAAGGTACACTTGATTATGTACATGCTGATTTGTGGAGGCCATCTCGTAAGCCCTCTTATGTTGGTGCTCGTTACATGCTTACCATTATTGATGATTGCTCTAGAAAAGTGTCGCCTTATTTTCTGAAAAATAAAGATGATACTTTTGCTGCTTTTAAAGAGTGGAAAGTTATGATAGAAAGGCAAACTGAAAAGAAGGTAAAATTGCTTCGTACTGACAATGACGGTGAATTCTATTCGGATGCTTTTAATGATTACTGCGGGAAAGACGGCATTATCAGGCACCACACCATCCCGTACACTCCTCAGCAAAATGGTGTGGCTGAGCGCATGAACCGAACCATCATCTCGAGGGCTCGTTGCATGCTGTCCAATGCTCGTATGAACAGGTGTTTTTGGGCTGAGGCTGCTAACACCGCCTGTTACTTGATCAACCGGTCACCTTCTATCCCACTTAATAAGAAAACTCCCATTGAGGTATGGTCTGGCATGCCTGCTGATTATTCACAGTTGAGAGTTTTCGGTTGCGCTGCTTATGCTCATATTGATAATGGAAAGCTAGAACCTAGAGCCATTAAGTGTCTGTTTCTTAGATATGGTTCTGGAGTTAAAGGATATAAGTTATGGAATCCTAAAACTAAAAAGACTTTCATGAGCAGGAGCGTTGTTTTCAATGAATCTGTTATGTTTAATGACAGCTTATCCACAGATGTTTCTTCAGTTGGTTCTGATGAGGAGCAGCAACATGTTAGCGTGCAGATGGAGCATGTAGATGATCAGGAAACTAAAATTGTTGATAACAATATTCATGATATTGTTCAGCACTCACTTCCTGTTTTGCAGCCTCAAAATCAGTCTATTGCAGATCGCAGAACAAAGAAGAATTGTGGACCTCGTCCACGTCTAATTGAGGAATGTGATATTATTCATTATGCCTTTAGTTGTGCTGAACAGGTGAAGAACATTCATGAGCCGGCTACGTACACTAAAGCTATTGTTTCTGGTGACCGCGAGAAGTGGATTTCCTCTATGCAAG